GTACACAGGCTGTTCATTGATTTTGTTTTGTTTTGTTTCATTAAAAGTGTTTCGATACCACCGTTCAAAATTTCAGGGAAAGCTTGTAGTGGCAGATAAAAATATAATGAAGCCGCTGTAGGAAGGCACAGAAAGGCAGGTAAAAGGGGCACTGACTATCATAGCTGTCACTGGGTAGGGGGATTCAGAGTGTTGTAGTTAAAAAAAGAAAAATACAACTATTCCAAATTGTGGGGGAGTTGCTTCCATTCAGAACAGGCCACGCTGGGCCAGATCCTCGGGGCTCCCCTACAAAGCAGCTTCCTCTATTCAGACCGAGTGGCCAGTTGCCAAGTGATCTCTCGGCCTCAGCAGCCTCCCCTATAAAATAAGGGAGGGGGGAAGGTCCTCCCAAAGGCAGAGAGACGCCAATGGATCATAACGGGTGATGAATCGCGGTGGCTGTCACAACCGTTTGTGCCAACGGCAGGCTGCCGGGTGCAGTTCCACAACCGTTCGCCTTGCGCACAGCGGGCTGCGTGTCGCTGCCTTTGTCATCCCCAGCGGGCAGCTAAAATTGCATTATATTTTGTGCTGACTGGCGCACTCCCGCCGTCGCCTTTCCCACCAAAGTGCTGACAACCTCCTTCCTCCCTCTTCAGGGTGGCCTTTCATTTCCACCTCTCCCCTTGTCGATGGGGAGGGAAGTCGCTTAATATTCTTTATAAACTGGCATCCAGTTCGGATAATTTGGGTACTCCGTGCAGTAAAAATGCAAATCTTCCCAACTTGCGTACAGTGGCAAGGCATTAATAAGTGATGTTTAAATAGACTGGATTAGCAGTTTTGCTGATAAACGACCAGGATCTCGGGCGCTCTCCTTCCTCTCCCTCCCCTTCGATAATTTGCACATGCAAAATCAATTTGAATACAACACACTAAATTGAATTTAGGTTTTTGTGTAGGAAATTGCACTTATCGGCCTGAACCATTAAATTTACTGTTTAATATGTACTTTCCACCTCACTTGGTTAGAATTCCATTGCCCTTTATCTGTATAAATTTAATTAGGCCTGATATCATCAGTATATTATGGAACTAATTAAAGATTTAGATAAGTGTGGAGGGTGTTTCTTTAATGCCCTATAAAGTTCCACTTGGTGAACGAAGGAATTCTCTCTTTTTTTCCCACCGGTTTCGCTTTGTCACAGCACTGGGAGCAAAGGAAGGGGCATGCCTGGCCTCTCGTGCTCTGGCACCTCTCCTGAATTGATCGGCATTGTTCAACAAGGGTACTCTTATAGAAATAATTTGCCAGTTGCCATCGGTTTCCGTAGGCGAAATGGACAGACCCTGCAAGGCTGCTTTTCTGATGTCATTTGCTGCTGACTTGCAAGATTCCCCAAAAGGCGACATCTAGTCCTCCAACATTCCCAGATCAAGCATCTGCCTGAACGCTGGGCTGGCTTTGTGTCGACCAGCACAATGTGGAGTGTCTGTTTGAAAATTAGGACTGGTACAAAACTGGGGGTAGAAAGAATGTTACACTTCTTCTTATTGATTTAAGATGGTCTTGGTGTGACCAAGAGCATTTACATTGACTCGGGCAGGTCGTGAGAATGGCTGACAGTCGAATTCCAATTGATTTAAGATGGTCTTTGTGTGACCAAGAGCATTTACATTGACGTGGCCTCCATCCATCCCAGGTTAGGAACATGTAAAACTTTAGAGCTCAAGGTGGTTGAGTTTCTCCAAGTCCTTTCTGTATTTACATCTTGAGCGTTCAGCCTGGAGGCAAGCGGTGCATCACGGCCTCTCCCAATTTGACGAGACCCTTGTCCAGCAGGCCGAGGCAAAGAGCAGTCCCGAAACAAGCAAAATCAGGGAGGGAACTGGACAGGGGACAGGCTGTATTTGTCTTCAGTGTAGAAGGGACTGCCACTCTCGAATGGGCCTTCTCAGCCATACTGGATGCTGTTCCAAGACCTTTCTTCAGAGCACATTACCATCGTCTCTCGAGACTGAAGGGTGCCTAATCTATCTAAAGTGTGACCAGATCCCTTTGCAGGCAGTTTGAAATCCCATCCAGATTCCTTGCCTCTAGCCAAGTCACCACAAGTCAGAGGCGATGTGATGGCACATAGCGACAACAGCCAAGAGCAAGACAATCCTTCACCCTGAGCAAAATGGCCCTGAGGTCCTTTTCTCTTTGAGAGCCAAAGTGGACGTAAAGCACAAGGAACCACTGATTATCAAGGAGGCTACAAACAACCCACCCGGTGATTTAGATTCTTAAGCGAAACAGCAAGAGTCCTATTTTGGGGCAGCTTGTGCAATTCATAGAAAATAGGTTTGCACAAAAATGTGTTGTCCTGTGCAAAACAAAAAATAGGAAAACTTTGTGCAGCACACTCTGTTGCCACCCTCACTGATCAGGCAAAGAAAGCGGCAGATCCCCACCTTGGTCTGCGAGTAGGAGACGAGTGAGAGGACTGAAATTTCAGTCTGGAACGTATCTGCCATGGCCACAAACCTTCTGATTTATGTCCTCCTTCCGAGGAATATCTACGTATAACGTCTAAGAAGACGGTTATTAGTCCCTTCTGTTGATGCTCTGAGATTGTACCTTCACAGAGTTGGCAGGGTATATAGCCCCATCAGTTACACATATTCCAGATGATCTGAGCTGGATCCTCTCTCAGCTTCGTTAGGCATGCTCAGGGGTGTTCTTCTCTTTTCCTCTACGTATTTTGAAGGCAGCAGCTCTAGAGCAGCCATTCCCAACCCTTCCCCCCCCCGCCATGGCGATAAACACAGTGTGAAAGACATATAGGCTCAATCGGCATTGTATCAGGCACATAACAAACCTTATAAGATGGTGAGAGTTCCCAGTCTGTGGCCCTCTTCAAATGCGGAGCAGGGCCCCCCAAGAGGGGGTCATAGGAGATCCCCATTGAGAATGGCTGCTCTAGAGCATGGAAAATACAGAAAAAGACAAGAGTGTGTCAGAGCATGTCTGCGTGGCATGCCCTAAAGCCAGCGGAGAGCAGACCTGGGATTGCCATGGTGGCGGCATCCGAGTCGCCAAGATTTCAAGGCCAGAGCGCGAGACCTCGCACCCCTGCTCTGAAGTTGGACAGCTCAGCCAGAGGAGGAACAGGTGATTCTCCTGGTCTCAGGTGTCGGCTTCCCTGTATCCAAGATCCAGGGAGGTAGCAGGTCGCTTAGAGGAAAAAACACCCCACCCCACCAAGAAGGGTTTGGTCAAGTTGTGCTCCCCGAGAAGATGCATCTCTTCAGACTCTGCAAAAGAAAAAAGAAAATGAGACAAAACGTTGCCGATGGCTGGAGTCTAAAACTATGGGCAGAAGAAGAAAAGAAGGCTGGCTGATTCCACTTCCCTGTTTTGTGATTCAATCACACCAGGAGGACGGCCTGATCCGAAGTGCGTTGGCAAAGGTAAATGGGAGGCAGGCCTGCTCAGAGTCTACTAGAGCTTTTCAGAAGACCGAGAGGCCAACGTTGAGCTGAGCAGCTAATGGAGTGAATCATTCCACTTGTGTGGGCTGGCCGGCCAAAGGCAACAGCCAAAAGGAGGCAGGGTGTTTAATTGCCGCCGGATAGAACACCAAGCCACTCCCTCCCTCCTTTCCCCTTCCCTTTGATAGCAATTGTTTATTTTAAGGGGAAATGATCCAGTCCTCCAGCGAGTGGCCAGTGAGCCCTGAAAGCTGTGAGTCCTGCCTTTTGGACAGGTGAGATGAGATGCGTCCAGCATGTTGCATAGCAGGGGCAACCGTTGCCAGTTGTCCCTCCTCCGGGCAAGGCAACACAACTTCATGCCCATTTTACACGCATAGGCACTGGGGGGCGAAATGGACAGACCCTGCAAGGCTGCTTTTCTGATGTCATTTGCTGCTGACTTGCGAGATTCCCCAAAAGGCGACATCTAGTCCTCCAACATTCCCAGATCAAGCATCTGCCTGAACGCTGGGCTGGCTTTGTGTCGACCAGCACAATGTGGAGTGTCTGTTTGAAAATTAGGACTGGTACAAAACTGGGGGTAGAAAGAATGTTACACTTCTTATTGATTTAAGATGGTCTTTGTGTGACCAAGAGCATTTACATTGACGTGGCCTCCATCCATCCCAGGTTAGGAACATGTAAAACTTTAGAGCTCAAGGTGGTTGAGTTTCTCCAAGTCCTTTCTGTATTTACATCTCACCCTTGTTTTGCATTCTCTGCCTTTCTGCGTAGACGTTACTGCACATTTTATTGGTGAATTTTTCCTATAATGCAGTAACTATTTCTGCATTTTATCTTGCTAGCACATTCTTTCCGCCTCTTGCCTAAAGGCACGTCTGGCTGTTGTTGGGTGTTTTTTTTCCAATAGTGCGTTTAGTCATTCATGTTTTAAATTGTGAGCCCTGCTTTGAATAACGCATTTCTCTGAGACCCCCCCCCCTTAATCTCTCCTGAGGTAAGGTTCATTTCTTCAGTCAACGAGTCTCGGAAAGAGGCTGCTTCTGTTGAGAGGGTTGTATCCAGCAAACGTCCTTCTCCCTTCCAGTCCTGGAACCCACCTTCAGCCTAACCAGCTACATAAAAGCAGTTTCGATTTTCCCCTAGGGCTTCAAACCACTTGTTACGTCTCTGTCCATCTATTCCAGTGGTCCCCAAACTTGGGTAACCTAGCTATTCTTGGACTGCAATTCCCAGAAGCCTTTGGCACCAGCTGGGATTTCTGGGAGTTGTAGTCCAAGAACACCTGGTCTATTCCTTTGCCTCATCTTCTCTTTGCCCTGCTAAAGATGCTCCGAATTTTGCTCCCGGGTGTTTTCTTCAGGTCAAGCCAGCAGACCAGTGATGAGATGCGATCCTCCAGGTGAACACCAGTGTCCCTCGGGGCTGGCAGTCTCGCAGCGCTTCTCTCCCTTTGCTGCGCAAAGAGGTCCCCTCTGACAATATATAGATGGACTCGTGTAGGGACGGAGCGCAAACCCTTCTACTTTGCATTGCAGGCAATACTATGAGATGCTGTACAACACAGCCGACGAGCTGCTGAACCTGCTGGTGGACCAAGGCGTGAAATACACGGAGCTGGAGTACATCTACGCCCTCCACTTACTCCATCGCAGCCAGACCGGTGTTGGGGACCAAACCGCCCAGAACATGAGGCTCCAACGCCTGAAGGAGATCATCTGCGAGCAGGCAGCGATCAAACAGGCCGCCAAGGATAAGAAAATCACCACGGTGTAAATTGGCTCCC